AACCATATGTGTCCCTACTTCTTATACAACTCAATCATATTCTGTAAAATAACTACTGCTAGTATTCTTATAGATTAATTAAACTCTAGTAGCCTACCTTCCTATAGTTTATTACTTTATAAGCTTATTAATCTACTTATATTATATCTTCTTAACCTGGCTATATCTGTTTAGCAGAATCAGATCTTAGCTATTACCGACCAGCCCCCAGCGAAATACCTTTACCTTATAATCCTAATGGATTTGCCTACTATCTATTAGGGGCATGATTAATAGGTACCTTATTATATAATAGTAAGGCTGATTATCATTTATGCAGCATTAAAGCTCTACTAAAGCCTGGTCTTAAGATAGTATTACTAGTTTATATAAGCTCATTCCAGTAGCCAAGTTTTCTGTCCTTAGTACCATAGCTTTTAAATGCGTATTTAGGAATAGACTCTTAATATAGTTAATAATATGTCCCATCTGCATACTATCTTATTTCCTACTTTTAAGGATTAGATCCTTATAGATAGCTATATATTACTTTAGACTATCCATTATTATTATATTAACTTATAGATTGTTAATACTTTACTGAAGGTCTTTATCCAGTCTTAAGGGGTTAGTATTTCTTCTTAAGATCCTTAGGTACTAAGTTTTTATTATAGTCTTTAGTTACCCTTCTATAGGACCAGCCTTCTTAATCTATTATTGATACTAGATACTTTATGTAACTTATCTTACTACTATAACCATACTTATAAAGTCTGGGATAGCTTATTACCACTTATTAGAGGGGGTAAGCTTATTACTAATATTATTTAGGATCTGATCTTATCAACTCTCTAAGAAACCCTTTAAAAATATCTGGACTAGTTAGAAGTTTCCTATCCTTCCCTCATTTAGTATTTCCAGGTCTATTCTACAAAACTTAATAATATATGCTAAGGGAGTTATAATATTATCTTCCTATATAGCCTTAACCAGTATCCTTAAATATAATTTACTTCTTTTTATAACTTAGCTATCTAAATTACTAAATTTATCTATTAGGCTCCTTTAAAAGGCTATCTAGTTACTTAATTTATATCTATCTAGATAATAGATTCTTAGTTTTAATTCTAGCTAGGTATTAATTACCAGCTCTTTATATTAGCTTTCCTTGGGTACCCCTTCTTATTCCAGCTTAACCTCAAATTCTTCTAACCAATTACTGATATCCAGGCTAGTAAACTAAAGCGCCTCCTTCCTATATACTTTACCTGGCCTAGTTACTTATTACTAAATAAGTAACCGTAGAAGGTAAGCAACTTCTATCTCCTAATATAAGGTAGGTTCTAGACCCCTTATATTTTCTTACTTAGTAATAGGTACTTTAATAGTACTCTCCTTAATAGTATTTAAAGCTATATCTTTTAATATTTTAAAATAGTTATTTTTAGTAAAAAGATAGTAGTAGTAAAAATTAAGTAGTATTATATAAAATAATCCTAGATCTAGAGCAAATCTCCTCCTTTTTCTCTTATTCTCCCTTCTTTCTCTTCTTTTTCTATAAGCCATTTTCTTTACCTTCTTTTTCTTATCTTATATATTATTTTTATCCTTCTTAATATTTTTTAGATGGTATAATCCAACCTAAACCAGGCTAAAGAGATAGATTATAAATTTTAACTTTTTTAGGATCTATAATATAATATATCCTAAAATTAGATAATAAGAGAGTTTTAAGAAACTGGTTTTATCTTTATATAACTAGAGGAGACTAGGTGGTAAAACCTTAATTTCTTTTTTATCACTACCTAAGAAATAATACCTTAGGTATAATAATCTTAATAAGTTCTAATATTACTATATCTTTCTTTTTATTAGTCTCCTTTATAGGTCTATACTCTTATTTTTTATCTCAACCTACTATATTTCCGGTATTATAAGTAGAGACTATCCTCCCTTAAATTTTAGATATAGCCTTACTTCGGGCGCTAATTATAAAGGTTTTAGGCTAATTACTACTTTAAGGGGTAGGACACTTAATATCAAGGCCTTCCTAAAAGTAAGAAAATCAAGAGGGAGAGAGAAGCCTCCCATAGATAGGAACTGTAAAGAAGCTTAGAAGTAAAATAAGATAGTTAGGATAAGGGTATAAAAGAAGATAAAGTAAATAAGGAAGAGTAAAGTAAAGATAAAGTAAAGCAAAGTAAGGTAAAGCAGGGCAAAGCAAAGCGAAGTTCTATACAAGGCAAAGCAAAGCTGGTTTTCTGTTATCTTGTTCTTGTCTGAAGCTGTTTTTTTTTCTCTTATCTTCCTCACTCTCCTCTTCTTATATACCCTCATTATATCATATAACACCTGAGGCCCTTGCTCCTGTATCACGTGATGCCCTTTAGAGTATGAACCATTTTCCCCAGTACAATAAGTATGATATTAGGATAGGAAGTAATAAGTATAGATTAGTATTAAAACTAATAACTAAAAAGTAAAATTAAAATATATACTATATATAGCTTAAATACTGCTTCCCCCTGGAGCACATGACCCGCGGCCTGAGCGCAGCTGTACCATGCGTATGTTCCTACTCCGTTCCTCACAATAATCCTATTATTTTAAAAGTAACCTAGTAATAGTAATTAAAAGGCTCTAATACTAAAGTACTACTATTATAATACTAATATTTAGAACTTACTTTACTATATTAAAATACTAATAATAGTAGTATAGAGGTTAGGGAATAAAAGAATAGGAAATAAGGGTAAGGAGTATACCTATACCTAGAACTTACTTTACTATATTAAGAAGTTAATAATAGTAGTATAGGTATTAGCAAAGGAGGAGTCAGGGAATAAGATAAGGAACGCCCATATCCTGTACCCGAAGAGCAAGGTGTTAATAAACCCTATCTCACCCCTAATAAATAAATGGCCGTCCGCCGTGAAGATGCCATTTATATATATATATATAGAATAGTGGAAGAAGGAGCTTTAGGATATAAAAGAATTTATATCTTTACCAAGTATTAAGATTATAATATTATTACTATATAATATTATTACTATATAATATTATTACTATATAATATTATTACTATATAATATTATTACTATATAATATTATTACT